ACAGGGGGCGAAGAGCAAAGCCCTCCCGGCACCACCGCATGTGCCCCACGAAGGCACCAATCTCCCCTTCGAGGGCAGAGTAGAGGGCCTCCATGGGTGGCCACGGTGATGGAGAGAAGGCAGTCGGGACAGCAGCTCACCCGCACGGTCCTGGGCACTGGATGCTCTGGCAAACGCACTGCCCCAGGATGCAACGCACGGGCTGGTGCGGGCAGGATTGCTTCGGGGGCTCTGGTGTGGGTCACGCGCGTGGGCTCAGCCAGCAGCCGGTGCTACCAAAGGCCAGCTTTGGGATGGGACATCTGGCCAGCTCAGATGAGTCAGTCCCGGCTGCTCTGCTGGGGAGGAGATGGTGGGTGGGTGGGGAGGAGGGTGGCAGGGCCAGGCTGGGGTGGGAGGAGTGAGGGCTCTGCGAGGGGTGAGCTCAGAGGGGTCCCCCCACTTTTGCGGGACCAGAGAAGTGATAGGCTGCTGGGTGCTGCCACACCAGGGAGCACATTGGACTGCAAAAACCCAGCGCCGTGCGGGGAGAGGAGCAGAGAGGCTGACCAACGCCCCAGGGGATGCTGCCCGGGGGATGCTCTGGGACGGGACAAGTGTCCTCCCGCTCCCCGTAAGGGGACTCCTTCGTGCCAGACCAGGACTGTGCTCTGACCGGCAGTTTCTCTCACCTCTTTGCTGTATGAGAAGAGTTTTATCTTTACAAAAGTAAGCAGCCACCCTCGCCTGTCTGCGGAACTGAAAATGGGAGGTCTGTTCCCAAAACTATTAACTGTATTATTTTAAACAATTGTGTGTTAGGCAAACTATTTGGGTTTCTGTTTCTGCCACCCAGGTTCAAGTACACTCCAGCTATCTTCTCCAGCTATTTTTATTCTCCGCAGCCAGGAGGGGCTGGCACATCTCTGTTGTGAGATACCACTGGCACCCATTCACATGGCTGTTAGGCTGGGAAGTTCAGGAAAGTGCTGGCTAAGGCCATTCCCATGACAAAACTGGGAACCAGTGCCACTGGCAAAATTTCTCCTTTCTCCTGTATATCTGGAAGTCCTTTTCCTGGTGAGGAGGGGATTGCCCCCTTGGGGGACAGCTAAAAATTTCATCAGTAGCACATTCCTCGTGCAGGAGGCGGGTGGGCGTGAGAGTGGCTTTGGTTGCATTCAGCTTCCCCAGTAAGTGTCTGCAAGTGGGTTTGTTTAAATGTGAGTCGCACCAGTTTGGGGGGAGCAGAGCTGATGCTGAGGGAGAAGACGCCCGCGTGTGAAGCCCGAGAGACCAGCTAAAGAGCAGCCCCA